ATTATTGATATAGAGAGCCCGAATTTCAAAGTTGGAACAATAAGATCTCATTACCTGAAAAGTTAAAACATCGACAAAAGTAAAACTCTAAATGCAAATATTTCTCTTAAATTTTATATTTCAATATAGTTTGACTAAATTTAACAGCTAAACAAGATTAAAATATGCATGTATCTCTTAGTGTGCATTTATAAAACGAAAAATGTGGAGGGTAAATGAANAAAATGAAGAGAGGAAAACGAAATGGATAGAAAAGTTTCTACTGTTTGGTATGCTAGGAAGTGTAAACTTGGGTGTAATTTCTTTCCCCTCCGACCTGCACCCACCAAAACTATTTCCCGCAAATATGGGGCGGAAAAGGGGAGAAAAAGGATAAACTTCTGGGCAAGAGCATGGCTTTTGACCATTTTACCCTTTAATTTCATATACAACAAATGGGTCCAATCTTCAAGATGGAAGAAACATTCAAAATGGCTCGTCTATCTATCCAATTTGAGGTTGGCTACTGCCACGTGGTTGCTAATAGAAATAAAAAGGTTTGTTGGTTATGTGTGCTTCAGATAAGTTGGGAAATAATGAATTTTTTTTTCCATTGGAGTTGCCTGTGTGCAAGATTCCAGGCAGCAGAGGGTAAGATAAGTTTAGTGCACTAAACTTTTTATATCTAAAAAAAAAAAAAAACCCTATTTCTAATTTTAATTTTTGTTTAAAAAAATTGACAATATTATCAAATGCACCCTTATTTTTTCACTTTTTCATTCATCATACCAAAAGAAAAAAAAATATTAATATTTTTTTTTCCTTCTACTTTTTCTTCCTCCCTAGTAACTCTGTCAGCTGTGTTGGGTAAAACAGGTTTGTGTCAAAACGCATTTTATTCATACTCGATTCGTTTGTTAATTCGTGTTATATTGGGTTAATGTCATGTATCAATCATGTATAATCGGTATATAAACAAGTCGTGTTATGAATTTCTTTTATTTGATTTCATCCATACCTGATTCGTTTATTAATCATGTAGGGTCGAGTTTACTTGTTTACGAAACGAATGATTTAAAGAAATCTCAAACTCTCTAACTCCGCATTGTATTAACGAATCGTGTCATATTTTAACACCCCTACTCCTTACTAAGTAGACCATAACAAATTAGAATTATAATTGCTACCTTGTTAATAGATAAAAATATACTTCTCAGATTTATTTATCAAATATTGTATCATAAATAATGTTTCAAAATTTTATATATTGAATATTTGATAAAAAAAAACAAATCTTATTAATCTAATCACTTATATTAATTTAATATATAAAATTTAATAAATAATTTGGTCAAGTCATTAAATTGGGATTGTGGGAGACCGTCAAGAATAGGGATGACAGTGGACCGGGAAAAAACGGGTATTTGTCTAAACCCGCTCCGTTTGAATCGGGGATAGACTATACGTATTGGACGGTGGACGTATACGGGAATACCTGTATAAACCCGTGTGGGGATGAAGGCAGGGATGAACTTACCCCTACCCCCGCCCCGTCCTCGTCCTCGTCCTCGTCCCCGTTACCCGTTATATATATACACTAGTCATAACTCGTGCCTGAAGACACGATAAAATATAAAATTCGAGCGTCCAAAAAATCGATCTCATTATATTAAATTTTTCAAAATATATTAACTACAAATTAATCAAATATTAAATGATTAAATATATGATAGAAATGAGTGATGTGATGTGTTACATGCACGATTTTGGGTGATTTGTAAAACAAAGAAAAAATAGAATCCAAGAAGAAAACCCGCTTCGAGAGGGGTGAAAACCTCAAATGGCTCAATTCGAAAAGAATCAAATCTCCAAAACTTCCACAAGAAAGTTCAATACAATATTCAACATCTTCATTTCATTGATATAAAAACTTTTAAATATAAGATAATAAAACTATTTTAATAACTAATTTGACCCATGATTTCATTATCTTAGCAACCACCTAGGGAACTACCCACAAAGTACTATACCACTAACCCACTTACTAAAATATCTACCTAATAACTACCTTTCATATTACATAAAAATATATTAAAAATATGTTCATAACATGATGTTTTTATGGAAGAAATATATAAATGATTAAACATATGATAAAAATAAGTGATGCGATTTGATGAATGAGTTTGACAAAGGGATGATGGGTGAGGTAAGTGATTGATGATGATTTTGAGAGAGAGAAAATATGATTGAGATAAAATTCAAACACACTCTTATTTTATTATATAGATATACATATATAAGTATGACATTATTAACTACATCTGTAAATCTTGCATTAACAGTTTTATAATTTAAAGTTAAAGTTAGCATTAATAGTTCATGTTTTACCGTAATATAATTTAAAGTTTGCATTAACATTTGTGGTAATTCTATTTAGCAATGAAAATATTGTTTATTGTTGTTCGAATTTTTTGTTTGTTATATATAATGTTGTTGAATTATTTAAAATATTGGATTATGTTGGCTTGAATTTAGGCTTGGGCTTGAACTTATGCTTATGTTTACGCTTGGGCTTGGGCGGGTACGGGAGAAGCGAGGACGGAGATGAAGATTATAAATTTACCCGTAGACGAGAATGGGGATGAAAATTATATTTGTTAACGGGGATGGACCGGGAATAGACGAAAGTTTTTTAAACGGGTACAGGGATGAAGACTATACCCCGCCTCCGTTTCTATCCATTGACATCTCTGGTCAAGAAAGAGAGAAAAAATGAAAAATAAAAAAAAACAACAGGTGTTACTAGGCAGACCTGGTGGAGGCATTATCGTATTCGTACGCGGCAAGTTCCTAATTACTAGCCAACGGCTGTCCCGAGTTTTCGCGTACAGCTTTTTCTCCCCACTCAGCCACTCTCTTCCTCTTCGGATATTGTCTCATGTCCCAGGCTTATGTGGCGACACGTTCACGTAAACTCCACACCCCCCAAGTTCCCCAACTTTTGGGTAACGTCCACAACTTATCACGTGCAAGCAACTTTATTTTATGACTTTACTTGCCACAAAAAAATAAAAATCTATTTATTTAAAAAAGTTATCTGAATATATTTTTATTAGTTTCGTCTATTATTACTGAGTTTATTTTATTAAAGTAATGCTAGATAATTTTTTTAAAAAAATGCCAAAATTAAATAATGCACTTAAATAGAACTAAACTAATTAATTAAGATTATTTTGGCACAATTTAAAACTAATGACAAATTGAAATATTTGGTGAGCAATGGTATCGTGTCGATCATATTTGTGTCGTGTTATTTTATTGGTTTTGTGTTGAGTACTAATGAGTTCAAACTCAACTTAACTTATTTAATTAATCGTGTTGTGTTGACCCAACTTGTTTATTTTCGTATCGTACTCGTGTTGACTTATATAATTTGTGAATTAAGATTTTAATACTATGATTTAAGTTTAATATTAGATTATCTCCAAATCAAACTCACGCTTATATTTTTTTTTTAATCTAAAAATTAATTTAATAAATATAATAATAAAAATAAGTGAAAAAAAATCCCTTTTTTTATAAGGATTATTTCGATGCTTGAGAAAAAATAACAAAAATTTTACATTTTGTCCATATAATATTAGTTAATTGGGTCAATTTCGTGTTATTTGTAATTGACACTAATTTAACTTATTTATTATTTATGTCGACAAAATAAAATATTTATGAATTTATTTTAAAAAATAATCAATTATAACCCATTAATTTTATATTGATTTGATTCGTGTTCACGCATCGTATGAGAATTGCCAGTCCTGGATAGGCATTTTCAGCCGAATTATGTGACTCTGAATTATTATTATTATTATTATTATTAGTGTTATATTTACTTTGGCCTCCAGATATTATAATTTTTGGCCAATATCTTCACACGTGTAAAACATGTAGGAGCTAAGGTCATCCACCTCTATCACAGCTGTCCAGAGTCAATCTCACCACCAAGCTTTTTTTCTGATAAATTCAACTAATCGGACGGTGCTGTTCCACCTATCCTAAACCAACCACGTATATATACCATACGGTGGTCAATACAGAATAGTACCCCTCATTTTCGCATTCGTCAACTCGTTAGTGCTTCAACGTTCACAAATTAAATTACTCGCGACAAGAAATATCACGCGAATATTCGAAAGGTTTGTTCTTTATCCCCCTTACGAATAAAGACCCATTCGCAACCTTTCTATTTCTAAAACCACTCCCTTCTTATTTTTGATATTTTTGCTGGATACCCTTTTTTTTTCCCCCATAATTTGTACTCTATCCCCCTCCCATTTCTATTATCTTTCTTCATTAAAGTTGTTTTCTTTTCTTTTTTCTATGGAAAAAGGAAGATGGACAACCAATAAATAGTAATCCTTGAATTTGACCATGACGGTCCCTCACTGTAAAATGTTTCATTTGAGTTTTACCTACTAACCAAAGTCAAATAATAAGTCGTGTTATTCTCGTAAATCAAACTCTACTTGATAACTACATAAAAATCAATGACGATCTTATACGAGTACGACTTATTATTAAACCACCAGCTTGGGTGGTCTTCATCAAAGTTTCACTAGTGGGGAAATTGCTACAAGTTGTTACATTCCAAGATGTTTACTATAATAGCTGAAACATTAAAGGGTGCATTAAAATATGAGAAACCAAGAGGGTTATTAATATAATTATCCCTTAAATTTTTAATTTATTGTAACAAAATTAAAAAAAAAACATAAAATAAAATAATTTTTTTGTTCCTATCTTCTCTCCTTCTTCTTTGGGCCTATAAATACGCATTCATTCACACAATGCCTCCTCCATTGTCAATCGATTCAAGCGTATAAAGCTTACTGTAATNATACGCATTCATTCACACAATGCCTCCTCCATTGTCAATCGATTCAAGCGTATAAAGTTACTGTAATCAACATCAATACTCTCTCTCTCTCTCTCTCTCTCTCTGAAACTCCTAATAGTCATCAATGGAGTTCAAAAGAGCCCTAGTACGACGCCTCTTCAACATTGCCAAATTCGCAAACCCAGCCCTAACAAATTGTCGAATTTCTTCGTCATCATCTGCCGTACAATCCCTAATCCCTCCTAATCCGGACAAAATAGCTCCAGATCCCGGAGATGACGGCATTTTCCGTCGATTCCTTCACCGCCAGCCGGCTTATTCCTCGTCCGGTACCTCACCGGAGCTCCGATCGTTGCCCATGGGACAGAAACTGTTCGAGAAGTTGCGTGCTATGGACATTGCCAGAGACCGTATCCGGTTAGATGGCCTGAGTCCTCCGGCGGCGATACCGGANTTCACCGCCAGCCGGCTTATTCCTCGTCCGGTACCTCACCGGAGCTCCGATCGTTGCCCATGGGACAGAAACTGTTCGAGAAGTTGCGTGGTATGGACATTGCCAGAGGCCGTATCCGGTTAGATGGCCTGAGTCCTCCGGCGGCGATACCGGGTGTGCCGGAAGGAAATTTTACGGTGAAGGATGCGAAGAAACTGTTAAAATTTGCGGAGCTGGAAAAGGTGAAATCGAAGCTGAGAGAGATGGAGAAAAGCTACGTTTCGTATGATGAATACGCCCGGATCTGTGTGGAAGAATGTTCGAGTACGGATCAGGGGATAGAGTTTGCGAAAATGCTTGATGAATCAGGAACCGTCATCGTTTTGGGAAATGTAGTGTTCCTCAGGCCTGACCAGGTTGGTTCCATTTTTCGAACTCACAATTTACGATACCTGTATGTCTGCGCACATCAGGTGCTTGATATTTGGCATGGCATCAAAATCTTTGATTTATAATTTTTGCAGACTACCGAAAACTGATGGGTTTTTCGTTACGTGTGCTTTTGTATTGTTTTTTCGACAGGAAAGTGAAACATTGTTACGCCAGACCTCTAAAACGTGGGAAAGGTTCCACATTTGAGATGGTGACTGACTGTTATTAGGGTGGATCATTCTCAGACTCTGTTTAAAGAAAGATTAACCAAAACCACACTCTTCATCACCTTCAGAATTTTGCTACATGTTTGTGAGGGGTAAAAAACCAGGGAGGAAACTGATGAATTTGGATCCGCTTTTTTCCATTTCTTCCCATCTTTGATCACCCGTAATGGATTGAAGTGGGAATTACCATATATAAGAGCCATCAATCCATATAATCACTATAGAGGAGGAATTTGGATTTGAAGGGTCTTGATCCAAAACAGTAGAGTTTTCATGGCGTTTAAAAGAAAAATCTTAGGAAGAAAAGGACATTTCAGTTAAGATCCTGAAACATCAAGCAACCTGTCCCCATCCCCCCACCTCTTGTCCTACGGCACCCAAAGTAATACTTTCGGAAACGGAAGATGACTCCAGTTTTGTTTCTGTGGAGTGGTCTGTTTTAATCCGTTGGGCCGACCTAATAGAATTTCATGATCCTAGTATTCTATCAAATTTAGGTCTGGTTTACTTTCTCTGTCTGTGGCCTATTCTATTTGAGGGAGCAATGGTTTGAGTCTAGCTGATTAAAACATTTTCTATATTGGGTTAGTGCTCAATTTTGCTGCTAAACACCAGTTCATGCACCTAATGAACAATAAATAAATTCCCAATCTTTCCTATAGATCATGGTGAAATGGGCCATGTTTATCAAACTATTTGTACAATTGTTGTTGTTACAGGTGGTGAAAGCCATCCAAGACCTAATCCCTGTACACCCGGCCAACCCGAACGAACAGAGGAGGAAGGAGCTCGAAGAAATGGAGCAGCAGAAATCCGTCATTGACAAAGGAGCAGAATCACTGGTTCGAAGGGAGCTCTGGTGCGGGCTGGGCTACCTTGTGATTCAGACGGCGGCTTTCGTGAGGCTCACCTTTTGGGAACTTACATGGGACGTTATGGAACCCATTTGCTTCTACGTGACATCCATGTACTTCATGGCTGGCTATGCCTTTTTCCTCAGAACATCCAAAGAGCCCTCTTTTGAAGGGTTCTTCCAAAGCCGGTTTAGAGCAAAGCAGAAGCGACTTATGGAGGCACACAAATTTGATATTGGAAGGTACAATGAGCTCCGGCAAGCTTGTTATCCACATTCATCGCCTCCGGGGAATGCCTTGTCGTTTAGGTCATCTGTTGATGCTTCTGAGAGGACAGAGTTTGATGCTCTAAGGGAACATAATGTGATGCGATAGAAACATAGTTATTTATTACAAGAAAACACAATTTTGTTATAAAATTTGTTTATATGCATTCTGTGGCGGCTTTGGTAAACGAAATGTTGAGAGACTTTTGCCTACTAATTACATTCCATTTTCTGTTGAATTAAAGTTAAATCTCTGAATTTAAATTTGCCTTCTTGGATGAGAGAGGTTGTTATTTGTGAAATCTCAAGCATTTCTCTATTGCATCTGATTCTTTCACCTCACATTGGTCAGAAGTTATCAAATTTCTATTAGGATTCTAACATGCCCCTCCCCACCCCCACCCCCCCCCCC